TTTTTAGTAGAGACGGGGTCTTGCTCTTGCTCAGGCTGGTCTCGAACTCCTGAGCTCAAACGATCCGCCCGCCTCAGCCTCCCAGAGTGCTAGGATTACAGGCGTGAGCTAACAGCCTTTGCTAGCCACCCTCTGAGGGCTCCAGAGGGCACATGGCTTTAGGAAGTTGGGAGGGAATGTACACAGCCTCACAGGGACAGAGTTTGGGAACTCCTGGCGTTACTACCAGAAAGAGGAGTCAGCGAAGGGGCAGAGTTAGGGTGGGCGAGGGGTGCGTGGTCATGGTATTTCAGGCCTTGGGGAAGGAATGGACTGAGTGAGATGATGGGTGTTTGGGTCTGTGCATCTGAGATGCCCGAGGGCGCTGGGCTGGGCACAGCAATGAGAAGGAGCCTTTGGCAGAACTGCCAAGGCCAGTCTGAGTGACCGTGTGCTCACTGGAACCAGGCGCTGTCGAGGCCGTTCTGTAGGAGGGGAGTAAGGGGCAGATGTGCTTTTTCCAGCCGTCATTCATTCATTCAGGCAGTGGAGAATTCACTCAGTGTGTACAGTTATGTGGTCCTGCATCATACATTGTTTCCAAAATGTCATCATTTCCCGGGCACATTCTGTGTCACTGCAGTGTGGCTGGGAGCTCCTTGAGGGCAGCATTTCTGCTTTGGGGTAAAGGTTTCCCCATTCCCTTAATGCCCACGTTTCCTGGGGACTGAGGGGTTCTGGGAAGGCTGATGGGCAGCCCTGATGCTGCTGCCTCCTGCCCAGGGTCACAGCGAGCCGCTCGGCAGATGGGGTACCCACAGGAAAGCAGGGTTAGGGTGAGACCAATGAGGCACTTGCTTGGGAGACAAAACTTAAGGGGGCACCAAACCCTTAGCAATCAAGATAAACATTTTAATGCAATACTTGAAAAAAATCAAAATGCCAAAAATTTACAATGAACAAGATATAATAATTTTAAAAAAAGGACAGTGTTGTGCCGTGCCGAGCTGTACTAAAGCCTGAGGGAAAGGGAAAAATCAGTCATACTGAGCCTGTCATTACAGTGTGGATATTTTGTTCATCATGGGTTCTTGGCAGTAATTTTGATTTTTGAAAATGTTAAATTAATATATAATTTGAGTGTTGAGTTTTTTTGGCGCTCCCTTAAATTTGGTGACCTCAACTCACTTGCCCCAGGAACCAGGGTCTGTGCGGGCCTGGAAATGCCTTCCAAGAGAAACAAAAAAGCAGCACTCTGCCCCCCTAGGCAGGACCCCAAATGCCACCGCCTTGGGAAGCTTCCTTGATTCATCAGCAGAGGGGGCTGTTGCCCACTACCCAGCTCCATGTGGGTGGGCAGCTCCCAGGTCTCCCAGGGTCACCCACTTGTGCCTAGGGTCTCCCTCTCACCCTCTCTGCAAAGGCTGTCTCCAGGGACATCAGCTTGGCCGGATCACTCCCTGGGATTCAGATGCGTGCCCAGCCCGGTGAAGACCAGAAGGAGCAAAAGCACAGGCCCTGTTAGGACAAAACTGGACCAGGGAGATATCTAGAGAACAATTTTATGGCCACATATACCAAGTGTGACAGAATGTTCTGCTCTGCGTGAGAGCAAAAGCAAGTACAAAATAAGGCCCTGATCGCCGCGGTGAGATGGACGGGGTAGGGTGTGAGTGGAATATAAAGACCAAGAGCTTTCTGGAGTCAGCACTCCTGGGTGCATCCTTATCTGCCACTGTAAGCCTCTGTCTTCTGGTCTGCAAAATGGGACGACAAAGAGCTGAGTTAAAGATATGCTTCCCAAACCTCAGCTTCCAGCAGATTCTGTAGGCCTGGGGTGGGGCTCAAGGGTGCTGATTTTAAAGGAAGCCTTCCAAGGACTTTGGTGTGAAGTGCTCTGGGATCCGTACTTAGAGAAACTGCCTAACAGGTTGCTTTGAGGATTGGAGAACGTATGCAAAACTGCCTGGCATCTAGAGGGTGCTGGCAATATCTAATAATAATATCTAATAATAATTCCAAATAATAATAGTAACAATTGTTGGTAGGAGTATTTCAATCAGGAGGCGCGCTTTAGGCGGAACCTGGAAGGCGGACGGGATTGGGAAAGGCGGTGGGCAGGATCGAGGACATTCCAAAGCAGGCGTGGGCTTCCTGAGCCGGGGGCCAACCCTCCGGGAGCCAGGGGACTGCCTGGGGCCGGAAGGTGGGGCGTGGGGAAGGAGGACGGAAGCCACCCCAAGTCATCGCCCTCTCGTGGAGAGCGCGCCCTGGTGGAGGAGCAAGCCCCGCGCCGGCCTTGTCATGAATGAGCAGCGGCAGCCTTCAGTCCGCGGGGAGGGAAAGTGGGGGTGGGGGGGACCTGGCAGCAAACGCCAGACCTCCCGGCCGCGCTGGCAGCCTGCTCCCGAGGGCCGCTGCCGTTCTGGCCCGCCTCCACCCTTCGCTCCCTAGGGGACCCCCGGCTTCCCAGGGTAGCCTGAGCATCCGAGGAGTCCTCTGCGGTCCCCTCCCGGGCTCCGGGATTCCCAGGCTCCGGAGCCCGCGCCCGGCAGCCGGCGGCAGGCAGCTAGGCAGGGAGGGAGGAAAGAGGCTGGCCCGCCTCGGAAGTCAGCCCCAAGTTACATGTGGGAAGCGGTGGCTGTGACGCAAGTTTCCAGGGGGCCCTGGGCTCGGCCCGGAGGGAGCGCGCCAGGGGCTCCGCTCCGTGCAGTTGCAATGGTGACAAGGCAAAGCCCCACGCGCGGACCCCAGGCCGCCTTCGCCGCCGCCGCGCGCCCGGCCAGCCGCGCCTCCGCCTCCCCCGGGGCCGCCGAGCGCGCAGACCCTGCACCGGGCAGTCCCTTGTAGACTCGGGCTGCACGGGCTGGGCTCCCCGCGCGGTGGCTGGCTTTTTTTTTTTTTTTTTTTTTGCAACGCTTGCCAACCTGTCAGCTGATGGACCTCATCACCCATAGTGGCGCATGTAGCTCAGCCGCAGCTCGCTCCATTCACGCCGCGCCCCCCCGGTCGGCTCGCGGCCCCCGACCCCCAGCGCCCGGGGAGAGGCCTGCAGACCCCGGCCGCAGCCGGCCCCCGGGGGCCCGCGCCCCTCTAGCCCAGTCCTCGCGCCGCCCGGGGGGGCGCTGCAAATAGTCCTTTGTTTACATGCAATTCCTTACTCCGCGGAAGGAGGCCCGGGGAGTGCTGAGTTTTCACCAGCTGTTTCCCGCCTTGAAACAGACATCTGATCAGCTGCAAACACACACACACATACACACGCCCGGGGAGGCAGGCCGGAGAGACCTCCCTCCCGCCCCTCCCGCCCGCCTCCCTCCCCTCGCCGCCGCCGCCGCCGCCGGCCGGAGAGACCTCCCTCCCGCCCCTCCCGCCCGCCTCCCTCCCCTCGCCGCCGCCGCCGCCGCCGCCGCCGCCAGCATCTGGGACCGGCCGATTCTGCACCTCCGTCCGGCGCTGCCCTTTGATTCGGATTTCCATCTTGCATTCTCTGGCGGATCGCGGGACCCGGCTCGTGCAGAGGAGGGGGGCCGATCGCTATGGAGTATTTCATGGTGCCCACTCAGAAGGTGCCCTCTTTGCAACATTTCAGGAAAACAGAGAAAGAAGTGATAGGAGGGCTCTGTAGGTGTGTACTCCTCCTCCCCCCCAACCCCTTCCTACCATTGCAGCCCCCGGCCAGCCCGCTCGGGCGGGCGCGCGTGTGCGCACGCATGGCCCGCGCCGCCGACCCCGCTCGCCTTTCTTAGCCGCTCGGGGGGCTGCAGCCCCGTGCGCCGGGTTCGCGCCGCCCGGGAACCCTCCTCCTTTGGAACGTGGGGGCCCCGAGCGGCCCCGGCCACTTTTGTCCGCTGCAGGCGGGCGAGTCGCGACGTTTGTAAATTGCAAACAGACCCACGTGGTTCTGCAGCAGTCCCGGCCATGCTTGGTGCTGGTGGCCTTCCCCCGCGCTTCCTCTTCCCCCCTCCCTCGGCGGCTTCCTTCCTCTCCCTCCTTCGTTGCGCTCTCTGGGCTCCCCGATCCAAGGGGGCCTGGGGGTCCCGGGCGCGCGTGGGCCCGCAGCGAGGGCGGCTACAATACAGCCATGCCGCGGCTCCCGGCGCGGGGGTGGGGGCGGGGAGCCGGGTGGTGTGCGTGTGTGCAGAGAGCGGGGCTGCAGCGGGTCGGGGGGCGTGCTCGCGTGTGGATGTGGGGGTGGGCGGGTCCCCAGGGGCCTGCGCAACCGGCCGGGGCGCCGCGGCTCGGGGCACGTTGGCAGCCGCTCGCCTGCTCGCCCGCCAGCGCCCGGGCGCTGTTTACTAGCGAGGCCTGGACGTGACTCTGCAGCCCTCTTGGAGTAGGCGGACCTCTGCACGCGCGGCCTCGCGGGAGCTGTAGTTCTCCGTGCCCCGCGGAAGCGGCATTGTGGGACTTGTAGGCGTTCCTGGGCCACGCTTCCCCAGCACAAAGCTCGGCTCCCCGGGCAAGAGAGGCAAGACAGGCCAGGTGGGGAGGCTTTTTGGGGAGAGGACACCTGAGGCCGCCCCTAGCCTCGCGGGGCCGCTTCCTGTCGCACGTGGGTCTCCTCTGCAAACTTTCCCATTCGACGTCCCTCCCCCCAGCCATAAACCGAAAGCGCTGGGTCTCCCTGCCAGGTGGGTGGCCAGAAGTCCGCAGTCCTCCCCAGGAGTCACATGCAAGCTTGGCCCTGGGTTGCTCAAAATCCACCCGTTGCCAGAGGGTGATAGGTTCGTGGACCACACGCAGCTAGGTCACCCGGGACCGTTGTTAAAATGCACATGCCTGGAACTCTGATCGCTAGGGCCCGGACATCTGCATATCGAGCACGACCCGCCGGCCCGGGTGCGGGGGAGGTGTGGGTTCTCCCGCGTGCGCAAGTTTAGGACCAGCGGCCCCTTTCCTGCCGCGCTGCTCCAGGAGTGAAATGGCTCCCCAGGGCTGGAGCCACGTGCTCCGCTTCCTGAGGCAGTCTGGGCGGGGATTGAGGGAGGAGGAGCGCGAGCGGTGTGGCTCCGGTTGGTGGACACCGGGGGCTGCAGAAACCGGCCTTCCGCTGAAGATTGCTGCACGCCTATAGACACCCTCCCAACCCCGGCCCCAGGGCTCCACCTTAACGCTACTCTCAAGTTCAGAGTCAATTCCTAGGGATGGATGGGCCAATTGATGGGTCTGGCTACCAGCAGGGCCACCCTGAGGGCTGGCCCTTCCACAGGGACCACTTGAAGGGCCCAGCAGGAATAAATAATAAAAAAATTCTGGAGTTGTTTATATGTTCTGGGACACACTTTGCTGGAATTTTCTCATTGAATTGTCATCTTTCTGTGAGTCAAGGTGCCTTATGATTCCCATGTAAAGATGAGGACACAGAGACTGGGGAAGGGACCAGCTAGAGCAAGTAAGTGGTGGACTGGAACTTGAACCCCTGCCCCAACCCCCGTTTGGAGGAGGCCAGCAGTGTCCCTGGGGTAGTTGTATCTTGACAGGCTGTGTGCAGGAAGAGGCAGAACCTCCCTCCACAGTTGGGCACGGGGATGTCCACTGCGAGACAGTTGTCAGCTGTGCACAGAGCATGGGACCCGGCCCCTGGGTTTATTCATTTTCAGCAGGGGCTGTGGGGTGAGGTGGGAGGCCTGTCCAGGGTGGAATGTGTGGGTTGGGCAGGACCCTCTGGCTGCATGGACTCGATTCTCTGGGGTGGACTTTGCTCCATCTCCCAGTGACTATCAGGGATCCCCCTGCCTCTCTGTCTCCCAGGCCTACCACAGGGGGCTGTGGGGCACAGTGCCACCTGCACAAGCTGCAAGGTTTTGGACCTGTCTCTTAACGGTTCTCAGCCTCTGGAACACCTGTGACAATGAGCTATGAGTAGGATGAGTAGGGAAAGTTCCCAGGAGCTGTTAAAGTGACATTCAGACTCTTTTTATTTTTTTGAGATGGAGTCCCATTCTGTTGCCTGGGCTGGAGTGCAGTGGCATCATCATAGCTCACTGCAGCCTCAAACTCTTGGGCTCTGTATGCACCTGTTGATGTACATCCTGACCAGCCATAATCACTTAGGGTGTCATGAGGGTCCCCAACGTCACCCTTGCTTACTGCTCACTCCCCGTCATTCTGGTTTCAACAGGTATGTGTAAGGGGGTTAAAAACATATATGCTGAACAAAAATGTATTGAGATGATAAACCAACATCCCATTTTTTGGGCTCCTGCCTCAGCCTCCTGAGTAGCTGGGACTACAGGCGCGGGTCTCACTCTTGCTCAGGCTGGTCTTGAACTCAAGTGATCCCCGTGCCTCAGCCTCCCAGCGTGCTGGGGATTACAGGCGTGAGGCACTGTGCCTGGGCTGACATTCAGATTCTTAAAAAAGCAGGTGCATAGTAGTCTCTATCCTTGTATCCTTATCTTTAAAAAAAGCTCCCATAAGGGGTTAAAGAAAATTAAGGGCCTTGGAGTGTTCATTGGTTCCCTGATCCTGTATTTATGAAGCAGCAGCTTTCTGCAGGGACTAAGGATACAGCAATGAACATGACCTGACTTCTGTCCTCAGCAGCTCACAGATTTGTGGTCTTAAAGGATCTTGTTGGCCCCCTAGGAGATTTATGGGTTGTCCTGGACACCTGGACAATAACCCTGGAGAAACGACATCCTGTTATCCTCTCTCTCTTTTTCTTGATCTCTCTTTTTTTTTTTTTTTTTTTTTTTGAGACAGAGTCTCACTGTGTTGCCCGGGCTAGAGTGCCGTGGCGTCATCCTAGCTCACAGCAACCTCAAACTCCTGGGCTCAAGCGATCTTCCTGCCTCAGCCTCCCGAGTAGCTGGGACTACAGGCATGTGCCACCATGCCCGGCTAATTTTTTTTCCTATGTATTTTTAGTTGTCCAGATAATTTCTTTCTATTTGTTTTAGTAGAGACAGAGGATTCGCTCTTGCTCAGGCTAGTCTTGAACTCCTGAGCTCAAACGATCCTCCCGCCTTGGCCTCCCAGAGTGCTAGGATTACAGGCGTGAGCCACCGCACCTGGCCTTTCTTGATCTCTTTTATCCATGTGGAATGAAGCAGTATTTCCTCATTTTACAGATGGGGAAACTGAGGCTTCAAGAAATGAAGGGGCTAGGCTTGGTGTTCCACAGCCAGTGAGTGGCAAGGCTGGAGTTTGCACTAGAACCCAGTGCAGGGTTCTCTCCAATGGGCTGGAGGAGCTTCAGGGAAGGGAGGGAGGGATATTTCCCAGGGAACAAGCGGGCATAGCATGTTAAGGGACGGAGGGGAGAGGTGGCAGGCTGGCCATGGCCGGGCGGCATGGGGAGTTTGGAAACAGAAGCAGCAGTGGGAATGGAGGGTGGACAAGGGCCTCAGACTTGCAAAGTGAGAGAAGGATGAGCGCCTTGGGCACCCTTGGTGGGAGGGTCGTCTTTCTGCTTCCCTTCCCTTTCGGTGTGGGAGAAATCCTGTGTGGACTTCTTCGCCTCTGAGTGACTGTGGGCTGTGTGAGTGACGTCAGGGCAGCGTGCAATGGGAGTTCTCAGGGGCTAGTTTGAGGCTGTTACCAGGCAGGGGTGTGTAGAGGGATGGGGGATACTTGGCCTTGGGCTGGGCAGGAGGGACAGGTGCCAGTCGGGGATCTGGACTTGAAGATCGTGCTCCCTGCCCCCAAGCAGGCTGGGTTGCCACGTCATTCCTGGCAGGTTTCTGTGGGTGCTGTGGTAGGAGCAGCAGCGCTGGTCTTAGCACCTAAGGCTGATGCCCAAATTTTGTTCCTTGGACATGGGCTGCCCAGTGCCCTGCCTTCTTCCTGAGGCCGGGGCAGCCCCTGGTCCCCCCAGGAGACTGGCTGTTGGAGGGCACCCTGGGAGGGTGAGAAGCAAGAGATCCTCTCTGTCAGTGGACTCGGGCCACCTTCACTTCAGGGGGTTAGTGGGACTTTTATGTGTGGCTACTTGCTGTAAATCGAATTTACGTCTGCAAAATCCAGAAAGAGGTATAAGGAACTTTCAGGCATTTGCAGGAAAATCCGCTTTATCCAGTGCAGTGTCACCTGGAAATTCCAATTAACCATCCTTCATCACTAGGAACCCCTGGCTGGTCAGTGATCAGAATCCTTGGTTGGTCAGCATTCCACCAATAAGAATTCCTGGTTAGCTCACACTCCACCAATCACAGCCACTGGGCAGCTCCCATTCCTCCAATCAGAAGCCCTGGTTAGCACGCACGCTGTTACACAACTCTGCCAGCTGGTACTTCCAGGGCTATTTAGGTGAGTTAATAATTGAGGGTCTTGGTGGCAAATGCAAGTCCCCATGAGGAGCTGTAGCTTTGGGGTTACACACCAGGTTGACCAGCAGCGGTTTGTGAGCCGGGGGCGGGGGAGAGGCTGCTGGGGAAGGGGCAGATGGAACCTGGGGAGAAGCCAGGAGTCAGCCTAGCGGCATCAGGTTCAGAGAAGGAGCTGACATAAGCCCCTGCCTGGGCCCCAGGGCCTCTTCCTTCTGGGGACTTCTGGGCTGGAGTTTTCAGGGCTGGGTCCTGTGGTCTCCCTTGGTCTCCCCAGTTAGTGGGTGACCCAGGGGAGAAGGGAGAGGCTGAAGCTTTGTGGACAGATGAGTTGATGGGACTCGGGCTGGAAGGTGCAGAAAGGTGCATTCAGCTGCACCCTCTCTGCCCTTCTGCCAGGTGTGCCTTTGGGCAAGTCACCTCACTTGTGGGCCTGGTCCTTCCCAGGCATTCGGAGGGGAAGGGGCAGGTTGCCCTTGCAGCTACACCCCCTTTCGGTAAGCATGGGGCTGAGTGAGCCGGCAATAGAGGGCGCCGTCGCGGGAGGGGCGGGAGCTTTGGTGTCTGCAGTGCCTGCTGTGTCCTGGCCTGGCTGCCTGACCTCGGGTCCTGCGGGCCCGGCACTTCCCCTCCCAGGGCCCTGCATTGCTCACTGCTTCATGAGGATGCTGCGGCCACCCTAGCGGATTTCCGTAAGAATCAGACAGGGACAAGTGTAAAAAACATCTGAATAAAAAGAGTAAAGAGGCCAGTGCTTCCAAGTGCCTAAGCCTCTTCTCCAGGGAAAACTGTCACCTGCCGGTTAGGATGTCCAGCTCTGTGGGACGGTCAGAGCCCGTTCCGCCCTTTGGCCCAACACCTGCTTTGGGGTCAGAGTTCAATTCCCCACTCTACCACTTGCTGTAGCTGGGCCCTTCCTGAGCTTCTGTGTCCTTTCTACATGGCCATCATCAGGTCACCCGACTTATAGGACAGCTGTGACATTCAATGAGAAGATTCTAGCACTGTGTGTGTCTAGCACATTATGTGAAGAATTCAAGGTTTTGTGTTGTTGTTAACTGTTACCCTGTGGCTGGGCCCTCCGGGTGGGCCAGCTCTCAGATGGCCCAGGGCTGGACTTGGGGCTCCTTTTTCACTTCCAGCCCCTGATCAGCTCTGGCCTTTGGGCCTCAGCAGGAGGGACCCAGAGGCCAGGTGAGCAGGAGTCTCTCCCCATGTCTCTCCTGAGGGGGTGGGGATGCTCCTAGACAGGTGGCAGTTGCCGAGTGTAGTGGCTTCCTCTGTCCATCTCTCCCCATATCCTCGTCCCCCTAAAGACCCTCAGCTTTAACCCACCCCCTGCAGAGCCTTCCCTGTCCCTGGGGGGCCCTCTGGCCTCTCAGAGGGGTGCCACACCTGGGAGCCTAGACCCCCCCGCCCCGACCAAGGGCAGGCTGCAGCTGTGCACCAGGCCCCGTTACCCGCCGCTGTGGGGGCCGGAAACTGGGAGAAGTGAGGTACCCTGGCCCTGCAGTGGGGGAGCTGACATGCAGCTATCTGACCCTAAAACCATGTCCCTCCCCACTCTTAGCCCTATGTCCCCTCTGTAAAGTGGGGGACCTGGGCCCCTTTTCCATCACTGGCGTTCCAAGGCCCTGCGAGGGACCTGCACCTGGGTGGTTTGGGGCCCTGGGCCTTTGGGTCTTGGTGAGGGAGGGGACTGATTTGCCTGCTGCCCCCAGCGGCCACCCTCTCTACTGGAAGAGGTGCCGAGGCCCAGGAAGGGCAGGGATGCATCCAGGATCCCATGGGGAACCCAGGCGGGACAGATGGGGCAGGCTGGGTGGGGCCAGGAAAGGCCTCGGCTGTTTCCAGCTGTTGCAGATGTGCTCCCCTCCTGGGTTTCCATGCTGATTCCTGTCCGCCTGGGGACGGGTAGGGGCCGGTCACAGCGGAGGAGTTAGACTAGGCACCTCCTTGACTCCCGCCCCCCCAGCAATGGAACAGGAGTGGTGCAGAGGCCATTCCCTGTTCCCCCAGATTCAGGGACACAAGCTTCCTTGGCCCAGGCTGGAACAGGTCACCCCAGGAGGGCCCCTCAGGAAGACGCCCGGGCTGTGGCTTTGGGTGGGGCCTGTGGCCTCTGCTGGGAGCCCAGCATCTGGAAGCCATCAGGCCAGGGGTAGGGGGTGTTGCTGGGGAGGGCCAAGGAGGGGGACATGCCTCCTCCAGGCCACACACAGGCCCACCCCTGGGGAGCAGTGGCCTTGGGCCCACAGGCCCTGCCTCCCACCACCGCCTCGGAGCCTGCAGCCTTGCCCCTCCCTCAGCGGCCTTCTCTCACCCCACTGGCCGCTGTCCCTGCCACAGGCGGTAACACTGCCCACAGCATGCCGGCAGCCGCTTCTCCGGCACAGGGTGGTCTGCCTCTTGGAGTGGGTGGGCTTGGAGCAGAACTGTCCCCAGGGCTTGTTGGCCTGGTGTCCTCTTTGGGGAGTGAGTAGTACCTGTCTTTTCTCTGTGAAGTCTTAGCCTAGGGGGGCTTGTGGCTAGAGACATGGCTGTGAGGATGGGAAGGGGAGGGGGGACCTCTTCCTGGGGCTGGGATGGCAAAGCTTGACATGCCGAAGGGGGTGGTACAGCTAGACAGCCAGGAGCTCAGAGGTGTCCCAGGAACAGGTGTCCCCGGAGATTGTTGTCTGGAGCCCACCTGCATCAGAATCCAGGAATTGGCCACCAGGTTTCTGGGCTCCATCCAGACCTGTTAGCCAGACTCGGGGCTGGCACCCGGGTGTTTTTGGTAGCCACACAACGTGGGGAACCTCTGTTCTGGAGAGCCCTCTCCCTGTGAAGAAAGCCAGGGAGGGCTAGATTCTGAGCAGGCTGTCTCTACCTGCTGCCAGCTGATGCAGTCCGCCTGGGTGTCCTAGAGGGCGCCCCTCCATCACCTCTGGGGGTGATCTATTGGGGTGTAGGCATCAGGCAGCAGGGGGGAGGGAAGGATGCAGGTTACACTTGGGGCCCTCTGGAAATGAATTATAAAGACAGGGGCCCGCTGGGGGCAGGGCACAGAGGGTGCTTAGCTTGAACCTGTCCCTGTCCCTCCTGGCAGCCTTGCCAACATTCCACTGACCCCTGAGACTCAGCGGGACCAGGAGCGGCGGATTCGGCGGGAGATTGCCAACAGCAACGAGCGGAGGCGTATGCAGAGCATCAACGCGGGCTTCCAGTCCCTCAAGACCCTCATCCCCCACACAGATGGAGAGAAGCTCAGCAAGGTAGGCGAGGGCCGGAAGGCTTCCTGGAGGAGGTGACTCGAGAGGGGAGAAGGGAGGGAGCTTTGGCAAACACTGCCAGCCTCACTGTCTGTCCCTCCCACCCTCAGGCAGCCATTCTCCAGCAGACAGCAGAGTACATCTTCTCCCTGGAGCAGGAGAAGACCAGGCTGCTGCAGCAGAACACACAGCTCAAGCGCTTCATCCAGGTACCTGGAGGAGGCCACCCTCGCCTCCGTGCCCTGCCCTCATCCCGGCTCCCTCTCCCTGGCACAGGCGCGCCCAGGACCCAGCCACTGGCCTGGGACTCAGAGTGCCTGCAGGTCCCATCTTGCCCACCGACTCACCTACTTCAGGCACTTGTCTTCCTCCCTGAGCCTCAGTTTCCCCACTGGTCTAGCGTGGCAGGAGTGGGCTCAGGAAGGAACCAGGTGACTGTTCCGGCAAGCACGTCCATTCTGCTTCCTTTCCTGGCTTTTGGCCGGTTTATTGAATTTGCAGGACGGACTCCCTAGTGAGGATCCACCTGTGTCGTTTAGCTTTCGGGGACTGCGATGGAGCCCCTGCTCTCCATGGGGGTGCTGGTGGTGGTACAGGGGTGTAGGGCACACTCATTGACCCCTTGGGGTCCCCAGGAGCTGAGCGGCTCGTCCCCCAAGCGACGGCGGGCGGAAGACAAGGACGAAGGCATCGGCTCGCCGGACATATGGGAGGACGAGAAGGCGGAGGACCTGCGGCGGGAGATGATCGAGCTGCGGCAGCAGCTCGACAAGGAACGCTCGGTGCGGATGATGCTGGAGGAGCAGGTGAGGCGGCGCCCCCTGCCGGGCCCGGCGCACGCTGCAGCTGGCGCGAAGCAGGGGTTCGGTCCGCTCTTTCTGCTGTCTTTGGGTTTTGCGGTATCTATAGAAGCGCCTGCTCCTTGCCAGGCCTAGGAGTGAGGGGCAAGCTGGACAGGTCCCTAACCTGGGGGTCACTGTATGCGTGGGGGTGAGGGGAGATCAAAGGATCTCACAGATAAAAATGCAACTGTGTGGCACCAGGGGGTTATTTGACTTGGTTTCCCAGGGGTGCCCTATGGTTTCTCCATGGAAGTGGTAGGTCGAGTCCCGATGTTAACCAGGCAAAGAAGGGAGAAGGGTGTTCCAGGCAGAGGGAACAGCAAAGACAAAGGCCTAGGGGTAGGTGCGAAAGAGGGAGCACGTCCCCATGGAGGCCATGGTGGGAGGTGAGATTAGGCCTCAGGGGCCATGGTGAGGACTTTGGTCTCTGCCCTGAGGGGGGTGCGCCCTGGGTTAGGGCTTTCAGCAGGGATGAACGCTGCTGCTCCACCCCTAGGTGCGGTCCCTCGAGGCCCACATGTACCCGGAAAAGCTCAAGGTAATCGCTCAGCAGGTGCAGCTGCAGCAGCAGCAGGAACAGGTGCGGCTGCTACACCAAGAGAAGCTAGAGCGGGAGCAGCAGCACCTGCGGAGCCAGGTGAGCAGGAGGTGCCCGGGCAGGGGCGTGTGCTACAGCTGGGGCTCTTGGGAGAGAGAGGGGCTAGGGCATCTTGCATGGCTGGAAGCCCCTCCCTGAGCCGCCTTTGTTTCTTAACATAAGAGGGGTGGGGGCTTATATACTGGCCAGCCCCCCATGAACAAGGGAGAAGCCTTGAGACAAAGGCTGAGGGCTTCTGTCTTGCAGCTCCTGCCCCCTCCGGCCCCCACCCACCATCCCACGGTGATTGTGCCGGCACCGCCTCCCCCTCCCTCCCACCATATCAACGTCGTCACCATGGGCCCCTCCTCGGTCATCAACTCCGTTTCCACATCCCGGCAAAATCTGGACACCATCGTGCAGGTATCTGGGCTCAGGGATGGGGCAGCTCGTGGGGTTGCACTCTGGGAACAGGCTCTTCAGGGGAGAACAGAGAACGAGGGTGGGGAGGTGAGCCAGGTGGGGCTGGGAAGGGAGAGGGTGAAGGTCCGGAAGCTGAGTGGCTTTAGCTTTCTGCATCGTGCGTGGTGAACGTGAGGACGGAGAGCTGGGCAGGGCCCACCAGGCCAGCATCCCTTTCCTCGATGTAGGGTTTGCTGGGAGTCCTTTGTTCCCAGAGTCCCCTGGGTACAGAGTGCCTGCATCCAGCTCTTAGGTTCGTCCAGAACTTTCTCTCACCTCCATCTCCCAGGACCTGGGATGCGGGTGGGGGTGGCAGTGCCTGGGTGATTGTTATGCCTCCTATGGAGCAGGAAGAAACTAGGATATCAGGGCCGTGGGTCAGACCTGAAGTTCCAGCCGCACCCAGTCTCGGACAAGACTTCTTGGGAGACCTAACAACATCAAAAAAAATAAATAACTAAACCAAAAAAGCCAAAACAGGAAAAAAATCCTATCAACTCCCCAGAACTGTAGTTGCATGTAAACCTAGCAAATTGCATAATACAATTAATAACAAAGGCCTTGACTACGTTAATAGGCAAACTTTAAAGTATGTAAATATATGAAAGATAATTTCTAAGCACACTGGGACTATTTTCTTTCCAGAAGAGGTTTTCAGTGTAACAGAGGCGTTTTCTAAAGTTTGTTTCCCTGGACTCTGGCGGGCCTTCTGCTGCTTTGCCAGGCTTATTTCTAGACATTTCTAGGGTATGTGTTTTGGGGAGACAGTGGCTGGTGAGGCCCCCGCTGCCTCCTGGCTGGCCGAGTGTCCCTGGCCGAGCCTCCTCAGCGACCTGTCCCTGTCCAGGCGATCCAGCACATCGAGGGGACCCAGGAGAAGCAGGAGCTGGAGGAGGAGCGGCGGCGAGCGGTCATCGTGAAGCCTGTCCGCACCTGCCCAGAGGCCCACACCTCTGACACTGCCTCAGACTCAGAGGCCTCTGACAGCGACGCCATGGACCAGAGCCGGGAGGAGCCGTCGGGGGATGGGGAGCTTCCCTGACCACCCCCCCAGCCCTCCTCTCCCTTCTAGGGGCTGGAGGGGGCCGGGGCAGCAACAGGAAGAGACGTGGGTGAATGAGTGAGAAATTTTTACAAAATTACAATGTCATTTGGGTCTCTTTTATGACCTCTTTTTCAATACTGTAAATCCACCTTTGAACGAAGCCACCCAACCCGAGGTCCCGGAGCTGGGGTGGCCCAGAGTGTGTGGGAGAATCGGGACCCCAGGGATGGGCCTCGGCCCTGGGGGCTGGGGACGCTGACACTGAGGTGCCTGGCCTCTCTCCGCCAAAAAGCATTTTTTCCTTTAAATATGTTTTTAGAAACAGGGAAAATCAAATAAAACCCCAAGGAATTTCTTCCCTCCCCAGAGCCAGCCCTGCGACTGTCAGTCTTACTCCCCTTCCCTCTTTTTGGTTTTCTTCTTTCTCCTTTAAGCACTTACACGGGTTGGGGGTCAGGCTGCGCTGGGGCTTTCTGGGGGTCCGGGGGTCCACGTTGCTTCTCGGTTGGGGTTTGCTGCTGCCCTTCTCCCCTCCTGCTCCCCGTCTCAGCACTAGGATTCGCCACTCTCCACCCCCGCCCCGTCCCACCCCTCCCTTCCCCATCTTCCACCCCGAAAATGTCTTTGTCTTTCTCTTTGTTTGTTGTTGGTTTTTTATTTTTTTGGTTTTATTTTTGGTTTCTGTTTTTGTTTTTTTTTTTACAATTTTGAGGTCTTTGTGTTCAAGGAGAAGCTATTATATTTTGTTAAGAAAGTGGGGGGAAAAAACCAAGAGGCCACTGTGCCTTTGTAAAGAAACAAAATAAAGTTTGTACTTTGTTTTTTAGATTCTGTGTCTCTGGGTGTGTGTGGGCTGTCCTGGGGACACGGGCAAGGCCACCTGGGCCTAGAGTAAAGGGTCTCTTGGGCCCACCAGGGGGCACTGGATGTGGGTGAGCAGGGTGACTCCTCCAACTTGTCAGTGGTGTTGTGATCAGAAATTGGAGTCCTCGGATTCCTCTGGGTTTTCTGCAAAATTGGGAGATGGTGTTGGGTGGGGGGAGTGGCTGTCAACTCCTCTTTCACGGGAGGCAAGGAGGGAATGACCAACCAAGCCACAGGGTCCTAACTCCTGGAGAAGGGACACAGGCGTCAGAGACCCAGTTGATCCCTAAGCGTTGCCACTTCCTTGGCTTGTGTAACCTCCCTGAATCCCAGTCCCCTCATCTATAGGAAGGAAAGAAGCACTCACAACCCCCTTCCCCCAGTGGTGCTCAGGTCCTGGAGTTGCTCTGCCCGTGGTCCACCTTGGACAAACTGCTTTCTCTAAGCCTCAGTTTCCTCTCCTGAAAATTGGAGACGATAATGGCACAAGGGCAGTGCATCTTACTGGGCGTGAGGTGGGTCCTTTAAGTCTCTTAATCCTCCACGGCCAGAGATCACTCTACCACGGGGTGCACTCAACCTGCCTGCTGTACCTCACACTCAGGTGGCAAGTACACAGAGACTGAGGCCGGAGCAGAAGACTGATTCACTTGTTGGATAGAAAGGAGCCTGCTGATTTTTTTTTTTTTTTATACTTTTTAGGTGAAATTCACATAACAAAGTTTGCCATTTTACAGTGAACAATTCAGTTAGTACACTCACAATGTCATGAGCCTATGTAGTTCCAAAACATCTCCATCCCTGAAAAATGAACCCTTACTCTTTAAGTCACTCATTCCTCCTTCTCCCAGGCCCTGGCAACCACCAATCTGCTTTCTGGTTTTAATATATTTTATAAAACTAAAGTAATTACACTCAGTAAAACTCCCACTTTTTGGTTCTGTGAGTTTTGACAAATGCATACAGTTCCAGAACCTGCGCCACAAGACGGGAGTGAGTTCCCTGTGTCCGCTGCTCCTTGAGCCCCTTTGTGGTCAATGCAGCCGCTGGCATCTATTCTCTGCTGCTGTAGTTTTGCTTTCTCCAAAATGTCATATAAATGGAATCATACAGACTTTTGAGTCTGGCTTCTTTCACTTAGCACTGTAATTTTCTCTCTCTGAGCGTATCCAGATAAATTCACATAGGATTTGGGCAGCAGAGCGGCCCCTTTCGGCCAGGTGCGAGGCTGCAGGCCCGACGGGCTCCGGGCAGCTCCTAAGAGGATCAACAGAGGGCGCTGAGGGGCTGCTCAGGTTCCACAGGCTGGAGGCGGGGCTTGGGGGCGGTGCCTGGGAAATCCCCCTTCCCGGACCCGCCACCGAGCGCCCCGCGGTGGGAGGCGGTCTCGCTAGCAAGCGGCGGAAATCAGGGGCGCGGCTGTGGCCCTGCCCCTTCCCGGACTGCCCCACCTCGCCCTCGGCGCGCATGCTCCTTGGCACCTCAGGCCGCCTCGCGCGCGCTCCCGCCCGCCCGCTCGTCTGGCCCCGCCCTCGGCCCCGCCTCCGCGCCCAGCGCCCGCCCACTCACGCACGTCCGCACGCACGCGCCGCCCGCCCCGCGCGCAGGTGACACCCGTGCGGGAGAAGGTTCCGGAAGGTACTGTAAAACAGGCAAGAAAGAGGTGACACGAATTAAGTTAACACATTTACTCTTTACCCAAAGTGCCCGAAACACTGTAATTTCCGCATGTGTGGTGCATAGGAGACGTTTGCGAACGAAATCGCTCGTTCTTCCCTGAGGCCTGGAGCCCCGGCGTCCGTACCGCCCGCGTGCGTCCCGCCGTGGGCCGCGGGTCGAGGCCGGGCCGCGCGTGCTGAGGCAGGAGAGAGGTGGGCAGCCGGGGGCCCCGCGCCCAGCCCGGGAGGTTGAACATCAGGTCTTGGGGAAGCGGAGGCAGGGCAGGGGGGATACGACCGGTGCAACCTTCCGCACAACCCGCTTTTAAAAGCCTCCACGAATTTTCATGAACTGAGCACACACCCATAGAGCCAGCACCCCACCAAGCCCCAGAAGCCCCCTGATGCTTTCTTCCTGTCCTACTATTCCTCAAGTGGCTTATATTCTCTTAGACTTTTTAAATTTTGAAATAATTACAGAAATGTACAGGGAGATCACCCAGCCTCCTCCAGTGTTAGCATCTTGCATTACTACAGTACATCATAGAAACGAGGTAATTGACACTGGTGCTGTCCACGGGGCTTATTCAGATTTTGCCAGTTTTATTTGCGTGCTCTCATTTACGTGTGTTGTATGTACTTCTCTACCGTTTCATACCAGCAATGTATTCGAGTTCCAGTTGCTCTGCCTCCTTACTGGCACTTAGCATTGTCAGATTATTATTATTGTTATTTTAGGCATTATGGTAGCTGTATAGTGGAATCTCACTCTGGTTTTAATTTCTGTCACATAGATTAGTTTTACCTATACTATAACTTCATATAAATCATTCAACATATGTACTCTTTTTGTTTTTTTTTTTTTTTTTGCTCAACATAATGTGTCAGATTCATTTATGTTTTTGTGTATATCAGCAGTTTGTTCATTTTACTGCCAGGTACTATTCCATTGTGTGAATATACCACAGTTTGTTTATCCATTCATCTAGTGATGGACATTTAGGTCGTTTCCAACTTACGGCTATTATGACTATATTTTAGTAGTTACCGTCCCCCAAATGCATTATGCCAATTTTCCTTCCTGCCAACAGCATGCTAGGTGGTAAAGTGGCAATTCAGGAGAACTGTCCCAAGCATGTGTCATTGACCTTTTCGGTGGTGGATTTTTGTTTTTTTAGGAGACAGGGTCTCACTCTGTCACCCAGGCTGGAAGGTGGTGGCACAGTCAAAGCTCACTATAACCTCAAATTCCTGGGCTCAAGTGATCCTCCTGCCCCAGTCTCCCGAGTAGCTGGGACTAGAGTACAGTAGTGTCATCATAGCTTATGGCAACCTCAAACTCCAGGCTCCAGTGATTTTCCCACCTCAGTCTCCTGAGTATCTGGACCACAGGTGCACACTGCTTCACCTGGCTAATTTTTGTGTTTTTTGTAGAGATACTATGTTGCTCAGGCTGGTCTCGAACTCCTGGCCTCAAACGATCCTCCTGCCTTGGCCTCCCAAAGTACTTAGGATTAAAGGTGTGAGCCACCACACCCTGCTGGTTGTTTCTTTGGGAGGTGGGCTAGGCATTCTTGGTTCCTGGTGGCGTTCCCTGCTATATTTTAAGGGTCTCTATTAGGGATAAACTTCATGGAAAATTTGTCTGCTCCAAGAATGTTCTAGAGGATTGTTACATTACCCTGTGCCCTCTTTAGGAGGATTCTCAGAAGAAATTCTTGTCGGGTTATTGGATCTGAGTGGCAGAAATAATTTCACTTGTCCTGAGCATTTGGTTCTTATTTTAGGGACACTGTGAATTGGGCAAGTGATCAAGTTACGCACAAGTGAGGTTCTTAAATATATAGTGTCGTTTTTTTTTTCTGTTAGTCTTACTAATAGCTCCATTTTGTGTGCCTTTCTGTTTTTCTTCTGCTACTTGTAATTCGTGCTTTCTTGCTACATTTCATGAATTCTTGGGAGTCATCTTCATACTTTCCTGGCACGGGGTTGGTTATAATGAATATATATGCCCCTTGTGCCATGATTTGGGGGCATCTTTGGCCGTACAGCATAGCAATGTCCCAACTCTGTTAGATGTTTGAAGGGCCATCTAGCGGAAGAGGGGGCCTTTCCAGTGACCTTGGCCTCCTTAGCGGTTGACTAACTGGCTCCCGACCAGAATGTAAAGCACATGCAAATCCTCAAGCAACTTGGAGCTGGCTGGCCATGCTGTCCTTAGCCTCAGATTATTTTGGCTCTGGCTCCACCCTGTCTCCCCGACCCCTGCCTGTCCTACTGTCCCTTCTTTATTCAGCTGCCTCTCTGTGCTTTCCTCGGTGCTGTGTGGTCTTGTAGCATTTGTCTTTTTCACTCTCTCTCGAGTTCTTCTGCTTGCCCTCCCTCTGCTTACAAATCCAGGGGCAGGGGTGGGGTTAGTGCCATCGTCTGCCTTGGTCCCTTCTCTTCTCTTGCCCTGCTGAGTTGCAAGTTTCTTCTGTTGATTGACAAGAACGTGTGCTGACTGAGAGGAGAGGGATAGGACTGGGCCTGCTCACAGCAGGACGGGTCCTAAGTCCAGCAGCTGTAGAAAGGAATGAGCTCCCCAGCCTGGCTCTCCCCCCACCACACCACTGATTAGAAAAAGAGCTAAGAGTGACAGCTGCAGAGTTTCCTGAATTAGGGGGCCCAAGTGATAGATTCCTGCAGGGTGCAGCCAGTCTTGGTGGACAGCCTCAGAATTAAATTAAATAGAAAACAGGCAAGTGATTCAAGAAGGTTGCAGGTGATACACATACCTCAGAGATTATTCTGTTGATAAATGTATGTCTCCCATTATCTCCTGCCCTGTGGGAGATATAGATAGTGCTCTGAAAATTCTGGCTGTAAAGAGAATTGACACAAATCTGCTGTTCTCTTGTAGGAGGACGAAATACAGGGGCAGCTTGCTTGTGAACTTGGGTCCTTCTAACCTATAATTTCCAAGATAAATGGGAATATACTTTTTTTTTTTTTAAGAGACAGGGTCTTGCTCTGTTGCCCAGGCTGGAGTGCATGGTGTCATCATAGCTCACTGCAGCCTCAAACTCCTGGGCTCAAGCGATCCTCCTGCCTCAGCCTCCCGAGTAGGTGGGACTACAGATGTGTGCCAGGATGTGGAGCTAATGTTTCTATTTTTAGTAGACGGGGTCTCTCTCTTGCTCAGGCTGGTTTTGAACTCCTGAGCTCAAGCAGTCTTCCTGCCTTGGCCTCTCAGAGTGCTAGGATTATAGGTACAAGCCACTGCGCCTGGCCCAGTTGACTGTTTTAAATGTTAAAGA